TGACAAGCCCACAGCCAAGAGCATACTGAATGGGCAAAAACTGGAAGCATTCCCTTTGAAAACTGGCACAAGACAAGGATACCCACTCTCACCATTCTTATTCAACATAGTATTGGAGGTTCTGGCCAGCACAATCAGCCAATAAAAAGAAGTAAAGCGTATTCAATTAGGAAAACAGGAAATCAAATTGTCTGTATTTGCAGACAACATGACTGTGTATTTAGAAGACCCCATTGTCTCAGCCCAAATCTCCTTATGCTGATAAGCAACTTCAGCAAAGTCTCAGGACACGAAATCAATGTGCAAAACTCTAAAGTATTCCTATACACCAATAACAGACCAAGAGAGAGCCAAATCAGTGCAATCTCATTCACAATTGCTACAAAGAGAATAAAATATGTAGGAATACAATTAACAAAGGACATGAAGGACCTCTTCAAGGAGAACTACAAACCACTGCTCAAGGAAATAAGAGAAGAAACAAACAGATGGAAAAACATTCCATGCTCATTGATAGGAAGAATCAATATCGTGAAAATGGCCATACTGCCCAAAGTAATTTATAGATTCAATGCTATCTCCATCAAGCTACCAATGACCTTCTTCACAGTACTGGAAAAAACCATTATAAACTTCATATGAAACCAAAAGAGAGCCCACATAGCCAAGTCAATTCTGAGCAAAAAGAAAAAAGCTGGATCCATCACACTACCTGACCTCAAACTATACTACAAGGCACAGTAATCAAACCAGCATAGTACTGGCATCAAAACAGAGATATAGACAAATGGAACAGAACAGAGGCCTCGGAAGCAATACCACACATCTACAACCATCTGATCTTTGACAAACCCAACAAAAACAAGCAATGGGGAAAGGATTCCCTGTTTACTAAAGGGTGTTGGGAAAACTGGCTAGCCGTGTGCAGAAAGCAGAAACTGGACCCCTTCCTGACACCTTACACTAAAATTAACTCCAGATGGATTAAGGACTTAAATGTAAGACCTAACACCACAAAAACCATAGAAGAAAACCTAGGCAATACTATTCAGGACATAGGCATGGGTAAGGATTTCATGACTAAAACACCAAAAGCAATGGCAACAAAAGCCAAAATTGACAAATGGGATCTAATTAAACTAAAGAGCTTCTGCACAGCAAAAGAAACTAACATCAAAATGAACTGGCAACCATCAGAATAGGAAAAAAAATTTTCAATCTACCAATCTGACAAAGGTATAATATCCAGAATCTACAAAGAACTTCAAAAAATTTACCAGAAAGAAACAACCCCATCAAAAAGTGGGCAAAGGATATGAACAGACACTTCTCAAAAGAAAACATTGATGCAGCCAACAAACATGAAAAAAAGGTCATCATCACTGGTCATTAGAGAAATGCAAATCAAAACCACATTGAGATACCATCTCACACCACTTAGAATGGTGATTATTAAAAAATTAAGAGACAACAGATGCTGGAGAGGATGTGGAGAAATAGAAATGCTTTTACACTGTTGGTGGGAATGTAAATCATTTCAACCATTGTGAAAGATGGTGTGGCAATTCCTCAAGGATCTAGAAATAGAAATACCATTTGACCCAGCAATCCCATTACTGGATATATACCCAGAGGATTGTAAATCATTCTATTATAAAGACACATGCACTTGTATGTTTATACCAGCACTGTTTACAATAGCAAAGACTTGGAACTAATCCAAATGCCCATCAATGATAGACTAGATACAGAAAATGTGGCACATATATACCATGGAATAGTATGCAGTCATAAAAAAGGATAAGTTTATGTCCTTTGCAGGGACATGGATGAAGCTGGAAACCATCATTCTCAGGAAACTAACAGAGGAGCAGAAAACCAAACACCACATGTTCTTACTCATAAGTGGGTGTTGAACAATGACAACACATGGACACAGGGAGGGGAACGTCTGACACCACAGCCTGTTGGCAAGTGAGGGCTAGGGGAGGAATAGAAGGGGGTAGATGGATTGGGGAGGGATAGCATTAGGAGAAATACCTAATGTCAATGATGGGGGATGGATGCAGCCAACCACCATGGCACATGTATACCTATGTAAGAAACCTGCACGTTTTACATATGTACCCCAGAACTTATAAAAGTTTTAACTCATTGTTATTTCTCTAGTGGATAGAAAAGTAAGAATAATAATAAAACAAGAATATTTAATGTATACAAAACAGGCATCAGGGTCATAATTACAATCTCTGTAAACTCCCCTCAACCAGGATTTTCCCCACGTGAGCAACCTGAGCCTGAGGGTTCCCTTGAGTCTCTGCAGCTTTCTAGAGCCGACACCTGGAATTTCTGTGACTGGGATGCCAACAATCCACCTGGCTTAGAATTAATCTCATCTTTAGTAATTTTGCTTCTGCCCAAATATACCAAGACATGGAATAATCCAGTGAAATAAGGGATGAGAAGAGCCAGGCACTTACTGAACGCTAGTTTCCTCCGTGTGTTCTCTACTAACCAAGAAGAAAATACAAACAATTGGTTCTCATTTCCATAAACAGACAAAAAGGATGTGGATTTCTTTTTTTTCCCAAAAAAAATATACTTAGTTTAAAGAAATAGTTGGGTACTTTGACTATAGAATAATTACCAAGAAGACAAGTTACATATAATTTTTCAAATAGTACTGGCCATTATTCTGTTTAGTGACTGAAAACTGGAACTTGTGTTTTAGTCACATAGATTAAAAGTCCCATTGTGTCAAGAGAACTGAATGAGATACTGTGCTATTTTTAAAGACATAGAATCATGTAATTTGTTTTTTTTAAAAAGGGTTTTTAATAGTCATAATCAAACAAAATTTATATATCCCCCCACAAAAAAAAACACAAAGAAACTAAATCTTAAAGATAATAAATATCTGACATTTTTGCTATGCTTTGTCATAAATTGATACTAACATATATAAATGGCTGGAGAGATATATTTCTTTCATGGTCTTATCAACTATTTGGGAATAATGATCTAATTTCCCAAAATGTCCTAATACTATTATACCCTGTAAAGCATTTAGTCCAGAAATTATGAACCCAGAAATCTCAACCTTCTTCCTTTAGCTCCTAATATTCTATTTGAATGTAAGGTTATCATGTAAGTAATACATGATAACTGCTTTCCCAGTACTCATTTAAAAATGACATTTGTGCGGAAAATGATTCATTTCCATTTTCAATGGTAAAAAATAGTGTCTTTCTGCTTAGCCTCCCATTTCAGCATCTATAACACTATTCAATGTGCTTGTTCATTTTATCTTTCCTGCTAGACTATAATTTCTTCGGGGCAGACTGTATACTGTCTATTTATTCAAAGTTTTTGATACAGTGTCTGAAGCATAGTAGGGGCTGAACAAATTTTGTAAAATGAATAAATGATGAATGATGCCATATTAGATCCTGTCTACTGCTAGAATTTCAGAGGAGTTTAAAAATCAGTCATACAAGGTAGAGTATTATCTAATGCTGACTTATTGAGGGAAAATCTAGTAGAGATCATTTTCAATCTACATAGATAAGTGCATTCTGGTATCTTATCTGTCAATTCCCTAATTCATAAGATAAATTTGGATATCCAGAGTTTGAGGCTGGGTCAGCCTTAGAGGCCTTTTACAGGTTCAATTTATTTTTGTAGGGAAGAGAACACTGAATCCTTCCAGAATAACCTGATTCCAACAGACTTAAATAAAGTTGTTCATTCTTTTAAGGTTTTCCACATACTTCTATCATTCTAGACTGTGAAATAAATTTCCATTTCCCAAAAGCCCCACTGCAGATTTTAATGATCCTGTCCACGTGATATACATTTTTTTGTTTCATTGCCATTAGTGAATGACAAGTGAAGGATATTCATTTTAACTTGAAAATGTCAGGTGTGCACTTTAAGAGATATATTTTTTTCAGCTGTTAATGAGGTGGTGTTTCTTTTTGAAAGAAATACTCATCTCTGATGAGGATGCTGTGCAGGTGACAACTGATATTTAATAAGCGATGGTTCTCGTATTAGTCGCAGTTCACTAAAGAAAATGTCTCACATTGCTTTTGAAAAACTCTTAGCGTCACTAGCCCAAAGGCAAGATGTGACCTTTTTATTACATAATGAGAATCATTTATTATCTTACAATGTATCTTAAAGTCACAGACAAAATGCCACTTTGATAATTGCTTTCAATTAGCTTTGAGCATAGCATATATTCATAAAATGTCTTCTCTAATTTCGAGTTGAATTAGAGAAAATTGCAGACGTAATCTACTTTAAGGTTGTCTCATTTAAGGTGATTCGTAGTTTTATATCAAAGAAATCAAAACGAGTAGCTTTAGAACAGTCTCTCAAAGTGGTTTAAGCAGGCTTTTCAATATTTGATCCTATTCTATTACCAATTAATTAACAAATTAGAAAGCTAGTTCATCATTTCTGACCTTTTATGCATGTTAACTTTTTGACTTTCATTTCTAATGACTGTTTGGAAATTAAGCCTTGCAGTTCATGTTGAAAGAGAGAAACAATCTGATTAGCAAGATAAATAAGGCTTGCCTTGATACTGAGTTCATCTTGATATTGGGCTATAACTAGGACTCTGGAAACTCTAATAGTGCGTTCTTTCCTGACTTCAATAAATAATGCATAACTAATGGTCAAGAAATAATACTGGATAATCGTGTAACCTAAGGGAGCAGTTCTAGGATGTTACTACAAGTGAGATTAGAGGTAACGTAGTATTTAAAATGTGACTTTGGAGAATTTTAAAAATTATTACGATTTAAGTGCACATCCTTATCTCCTTTAAAAGTATTTTGGAAATAATAGAAACTCTGAAATTACATTTCACACTTGTGGTGTTTCCGTCATTCATGAAATACTATTAACCTTAACAGAGAGTCTCACAATTTGGTATTATATCTGGAGATTACTTTCTCTCTCTCTCTCTCTCTCTCTCTCTTTTCTTCTAGATAAAAATTACACACAAGAACCAAGCCCCAATGCTGATGGGCCCTCCTCCAAAAACCGGGTTATTCTGCTCCCTCGTCAAAAGGACAAGAAACCGAAGCAAGGAATAATCCTGTCTTGTTTCATTCTTAGAAATTGAATTAGCATAATTGGGCCCTGGGACACATATGCTGGAAGTCTTTGAACCATTTCAAGTCTCCTGCTCATGCAAAATCATGGAATTGGTTTAATAGTTTTTGTTACTGGGCTAATGTAAAATTCAGCTATTAGAAAATTTATTGTCTCAGTTTTTATAGGCATCTTTGCATGAAGAAAGCAGAAGTTTACATGAAGTGAAACTGCGTATTTTGGTTGCATGCATTCCCACAGATTTTTACATCTCCCACCCATCTCTTCTCCAATTTCCATTTACTAACCTGTGAGAAAAACCTGTGAAACATGAAAAAGGAAATACCATGGGAAATGTGATGCTCAGTATGATTCTAATTATTACTATGTACTAATCAGTAATGCTACAATGATCATAATTACAGATTGCTATATGTTTCCCTTTTAGAATCAGTGTATCAGTGACCTATGACTTGAGGAGAAACTTTTAATTCAAAGGTTTATTAAATAGTTGACTACAATATCTTGCTATTTATACCTAGTTTTTCTTCAACAACTCAGAGGAGTGGAAATAAAAATATCAGGTATAAAGTTTTCTCGTGCTGAAAAACAGTTTTAATTTGCTTAGTTTTCTTCTTAATTCCAGAAATAAGTGAAAACATATTACTTGACAGTAAAGTGTGGTAATACGGCAAGCCTTGTTCCTTTCTGCATGAGAATCTAGGAGAGAATTCATAACCACACCAATAACCAAATAGATATTTTAAACCATGTGCCTAATCAATGTGTTTCCCACCAAAGATTTAGAAACAGATGCTTGAGAGAAATTGGTTAATGCATAATTAATTAAGCATGGTGGAGCAAATTTGTGGTTCCTGTGATTCATTTTCTGATGACTAAAATGCTGGAAAGAAAGTGAGTTACCCATTCATTATGATTAAAATTCTCACCTTCACAGACAGACAGTAGACCAGACAACATAATCAAAGCTCCATAAATGATTTCTTGCTTTTTTCAGTCATTTATAAATATAGGTGTAATTTTTCATGAATCGGTTAAGTACACTTGAAGGAAGTAAATGATTGTATCAGTTTCTTTCTAGTAGAAATTGGTACCTGTAACAATATTGAGCTCTTGGAAGCAAATCATGCATGCAGTCAGCTCCCTCCTCCTCACCTACTCCACCCCCATCTCTATGACATTTCAAATGTTTACATGGAAACGACGGCCTAGATCACTGTTGAAGGTGTTCACCGCATGGCTGGGTTCTCTGATTGTTTAAAGAAATCATGGAACGGTACTTTTCTTTTAGTGTTTCATTAAGCCTATGATATAAAATGAAATGCTTCTGAACAGTCTTGGAATCTTGTTCATTCATATTGACCTGCATCTCATCATTGCATGTTTTATGTTTTCAAACATGCCATAAGGAAAACGAGTGCTTGAACTGCATGATTTATTAGTTTCTCTCCACTCTGCATTAAAGTGCTAATTGATTTATCAGTTCTATTTTGTTATTGATTCATACATTTCTGAATAACAAATAGCATTTAGTGATTCTGTTGAACACAATCCTGTGCATGGATTTATGGATTTCAAGTGAAATTGCTATAATTTTAGTTCTTTGGTTTGAAAACTCAACTGAATGCTGTTATATCAAATAGCTACTCTCAAGCAATGTGCTATAATGGAAGATTATGTACAAAGTATATTCTTTTAGTGTTCCTGGAACACTGGATGGTAAATATCAACCAACAATAAGCTTAATTACTTTAAAAATAAAGCTTCTGAATAAAATTAAGACATCATTTAGCATTCCCAGGAAAATTATGATTACAATTGCAAATTTAGTACAGCAATCACTTGCCCTGGTATAATAAAAAATAAAAAAGTTGTTTGGCAGAGCAGTAATCTAGACCAAAAGAAATCTCACAACAGTAACAAGTGCATTACTGACACAATGTTACATAACACACACATTGATTTTTGTTTCTATGGTTACAGGTAATAAATATTTTCACATGAATTGACAAAATTTTCTACAATGGGCAGGCAGGCTTTGTGTCAAAAATATATTTTGAAGCCACAAATTATTTTATGTTCGCTACAACATACAATTACTTCTTGGCTACCTTTTATAGTATATCATTTGAAGGCAGCAACAGTTTGTGAATCATTCTTAACAATCTGTGCAGTAGAAACTGTTGGATAGACAGTGGGATGAGACAAATTAAACAACCTGCCTGTAAGACTTCAATAACTGAAATAATGGGATGCAGCTCCACTCCAACGTAGCTGTATGACTGCAATTAGTGCTAATAGTGTTACATTTTCAGTCAGTTGGATTCTTCAGTACCAATAATAAACGTTCAAATATGAATCCAATTTGACTTTTCTCAACTCATTTTCTAAAGACACTGATGCGCTTGCCCCTTCAAGTATACGACCCCTGGGGTTTGGAAAGTAGTTTTTAAAAATGTAACTTGAGTTCGAAATCAGAGAAGATATTCTCCCCAGTTTTATCACAGCTTCATATGAAAAACATATAGTTTAAGGAAAACTCTGAACTGAAATTCTGGAATATAAAATATTGAATGATGATATTATATTACCTTTACAAGATGAAAACTTCTACATGTGTGGATGAATTTTGAGCTGCTGAGTTGTGCTCTTTTAATATAGAAGCTGTATAAAGTTTTAAGTGGACGAAAGTCTTAAAAGTAAATTAATGCTGGACTTAACAGTACTCAAAAGCAAAGGGGAAAAACAAACATGCATTCTGCTAAATATTGCCATACACTGCATCTATGAGATTCCAGAGAGAGATTCCAGAATAAACCTCAACATCCACACTTTTAAGAAATAGGAAAGGCGGCATCTACATTGAACCAGAAAGTTTAAAAGACATAAATTTATTTTTTCCACTTCCACGTGTATATCATGTGTATTTGATGTGAAAATGCTGGTCAATGTGTTGTGGTGGAAGGAGATAGCTTGTAGGAAGATAAAAAAAATTAACACTTTAAAACTGTTTTTATTTTATTTAAGACGGGTTCATGTGATCATAGCCAGAATAAAACAAAGGCTCAGATGTTTAGCATAGTCTGTCTACTGCAGACAGAAATTTAAATCTAGTGAGGGCTAGTGAATCGCATGTGTGTTTCCACATTTTATTTTGTTTTTCTTTTTTAAGGGTATGGGAAGCAATTGGAATTTTTCAGGGAAGAATCTGTTTGGTATCTCAGACTGTATTCTCTTTGAATGAGACAAGACTTTGAGAGAATTCTTTTCCTTTCTGTGTCAATGTCAGTTTGTTGCTCATTGGTTATAAAAAGGGAAATGTACTTTTCATGGCACATAGAACCCCCAAAGAATTATTCAATACAGAATAATTAAATAATATTGAATCCTATTTTCCATTATTATTCAAATAACTAAATAATTATCTCCATTAAAAAATTAAACCCTTGTAACATATATTAAGGCTGTAAACCTAAAGAAAATAAATAAAACCCTGTTAAAGAGCTATTATTTTGTGAGAGGCAGAAATCACCATTTAAAGCTCCCAACTAAATTCTGCTGTGTTTCAATAAAGTTTGAGTAAACTCACATTTGAGAGATTCTGTATAACCTTATTGTGTTTAAAAACATGGAACTCATTTAATTATAATACCTTAATTATTTTCTCAGAAGGTGATATATGCAATATCCTGCTTTTTGAAATAAAAATGTTAACCACTCAGTTCAGTGTCATTTGTTACTGCCATTCTGGCCAGATTTTGTCTCTTAAATGAACTCCTCCAGCCGCTCCACAATCCTCCGACCCCGCTGAATATATGCACTAGGGATATAAGGCCAGACACCCTACCTTTTGTCAGGGAGTAATTAGGGACTGAATTATATGCAATTAAGAACCAAATTAGTCCACTTTGTGGTACTTTGGGCCCCAAGTTGCTGCTGTGCATATTATTCCAGCAATTTTAGATTCTAAGTAAGCCAACAACCTGAATGATTAAACTGTGGGAACACAAGCTGAATTTTCTGCATGAAACCAGTTTCTTATTTTGTGTAACAGACTTCAACAAATATCTCTTGGGCACTGACTAGGTTCAACATATTATGCAAAGGGGCTGCAGCAATTAAAACATTCTTAAGGAAACAATTTCTTCTCTAAACACCTTTGGATCTTTTAGAAGAATTAAGTAAACAGATGACCATGTTACACAACTGGATAAGGGAAGAGCCAACGTATTCAGAGGAGGAAATGATAATTTAGTGAATAAATCTGAAAAGGCTTTTAGAGAAAGTAGATCTGCAAGAGGCTTTTTGAAAAGCTAAAACTTTACATGAGGAAAGAAGGTCGAATTAAGGAAATTCAGAATAAGAGAAGGTGAATGGGAGCAGGAACACAGAAATCAAGTCCTAAATTCTTCATGGACTCATCTCATTAAAAAGTTAGGGAATTTGCAGATAACTCATTTGGATAATGCTTATACTTAAAATTATTAGCTAAACAAGGAGCAGAAGAAGAAAGCACAAAAAGAGTCAAGGAAGCAAGTAAGAGAGGGAATGGGAAAGAATAACGCAAACCCCCCAAATTAGAAATGGCTATAAAAATCAATTGTACATTATGGAAGAGAAACAATGAAAAAATTAAATAATTCCCAGGTATTTTGGCTTGAAAATTCTGAAACCAGTATCTGGTCATTCTCCATATTCAGGGAGTTTGATTAGATTATATTCTGTGAATGTAAGTGACTTCATAAACTCTCTAAAGCTTATGAAACTAACTAGAGAACACTAATTATAAAATGTTGATGCTAAGTGTTTTAAAACTGAGTATTAAAAATACATGTAAAACAAGTTAAAAATTTTTAATAGAATATGAAATCTTTTCAACAAATTACAACTGGTGGCAGAGTCACTAGCAGATCCAAAAAGCTCTCTCTCTTTTACTCCGTATTTGGATCCAACTGTCCATTCCGTGAAGTCAGTTGATCTCAGAAAAACATTTTTGTTTAAAATAGTATTGATAATAATCCTTAAATTACCAGGGACTTCATAATATATTGGTTGAAAAATTAGAAACCATGTTTGAGCTGAAAGAAACATGGCCAGGCATGGTGGCTCACACCTGTAATCCCAGTACTTTGGGAGGCCGAGGCAGCTGGATCACCTGAGGTCAGGAGTTCAAGACCAGCCCGGCCAACATGGTGAAACCCCATCTCTACTAAAATACAAAAAATTAGTCAGGCACAGTGGCATGTGCCTGTAGTTCCAACTACTCGACAGGCTGAGGCACAAGAATTGCTTGACCCGGGGAGGCAAAGGTTGCAGTGAGCCGGGATCATGTCACTGCACTCGTGCCTGGGCAACAGAGTGAGACTCAGTCTCAAAAAAAAAAAAAAAGAAAGAAAAAGAAAAAGAAGGTGACTGCCTAATGTGTATATTTTTTCTACTGCAGCTACATTTTTAAGATCTTCCATCTTCAAGTACCACATAGTGCTTCTACATCATTTCTGCCACTCAAAAAGATGGGACTTCACAGTCTCACAAAAGTTTCTTTCAACATTTTGTGAAGTTTGAAGACCACCCCATGTTGAGTCCCCAGTGCCTTCTCGGCTTTGCAGTCATGGGCAGCATACTGACATGTTTTAGCATGAGGGCTCTGGTGCCAGACCCCGCTACAGTGCTTGGATCTGCTGCTCACTTGCTGTGTGACCTCAGCCCAGTTATTTAAGATCCCTGAGCCTCAGTTTTCTCAACTGCGAAGTTAAAATATGTATTAAAAATTAAATACATTAAATAATTTAGAGCAGTTCTGGCACATCGACATTAATACACCAGGCCTGGGTGTGTGGTAGAGCAGGACAATACAATCCACAGTGCAGATCTTATTCTGTTCTCGATAAACAGCCGAAAAATTGTTGGTGTTTATCTGTTAGAAACCTAGTTGTCAACTTCAGGTTCAAAATAACTTGTCATTGTATGTTCAGGTTATGTGTGTAACATTGGACTCTCCCTAAACTAATTCCTTCACCAAATTATCTGGACATATGCAGATAGGCCAGAATAACCTACAATCTCTAAATCTGAGCAAATGTTATTAGACCACCAAGAGAATTCTACAGTTATATAACTTCATAGCATTTTGAGAATTAAATATAATGTCATCATGAGACACATCACCAAAACCCATGGCCACTGTTGAAAGGCACGCCTTTCTTGAAGTCTCCATTAAATATTTATTTATATTCTTTGTGTTTCTCCCTTAACCGTACAACCATCCCTCAAACCCAAATCAGTTTTATTTAAATCTCAAAATTTCACTGTCAACACTCAAAGTCTGCAATGAGTACGCCTCTTACATTCCTTAAACGTACCTCTCTTTGGAAAACACCAGGACCAATAATAGTTGACTGGTGCCCATGCCTGTCAGATCCCAAAAGCCACACATAATTGGAGAGCTTTTGCCAGTCTTTCCTCCCCCAACCCCCCTAGCAGGGATCCAGAAAGCTCCCCTCGTTCCTGCTATGCCACACACCCAGGCCTGGCAGGCCAGGAGAAGACCCACCAGGAGTAGCAAGAGTGTCTACAGCCCATTACACTTCCATGGCTCCCACACACTGGGGTTTCTCTAATTTGTCCCTGGTCAGAGACAAGCAAGGGCATCGGCAGTCTTCACCCTGCCAGCTAGCATTTCTTCAGAGCTGCCCTCTCAAGGGCTCTGGTAGAAACTGCAGAAACCATGGACTTCATGAACTTTGGGCTGTGAGGAAAGAGGGGAGAGGCTGGAAAAGTAGGAGTGTAGGCAGTAATGAGAAGCCACTGTGGCAGAAGCAGGGACACTGAGCTACAAAAAGGAGGCTGCTGTGGATAGAGAAGGCCATTGGAGCAGAATAGGATCAGGAGGGGCCCCTCAAAGGTATCCTATATTGCACTATCCTGACGAATTAGCCCTCCACTTAAGTGGACGAGTTTGTTGAAATCCATTAAATCCTCACCCATCACAGGTACTAACAATGTCAATTTTAGTAATCAAAGTAGAAGCCGATGTTTCTATAGTGCTTGCTTTGTTCCAGGCGTGATTCTACACATAAATGAACTCATTAGAATTCCGTAATTATCAACACCACTTGCATTTCACACATTAGAAAACTGAGGTCCACAGATAACATTTAGAACTTCCAGTTAATCTCATAGAAGTAAAAAGTACAACAGAGTACTTTTGTTGGAGAGTAGATTTGTTAAAGGATACAAAATTACGGTTCGTTAAAGGAAACAAAATTAGTTTGTTAAAGGAAATACGGTCTAGGGTTCTGTACCACTGTAGGATGACTATAACTAACAATGATATATTACATACATTCAAATAGCTCAAAAGAGGATATTAAATGTTTCCAACACAAAGAAATAATAAATTTTTGAGAAAATGGATATGCGAATTACTCTGATTTGATCACTTTTGATACATTATATGTATCAAAACATCACCATGTACCCCATGAATATGTACAGTTATGCTTTGTCAATTAAAAAAGCAGCCAACAAACATGAAAAAAGGAAAAAAGCTCATCATCACTGCTTATTAAAGAAATGTAAATCAAAACCACAATGAGATTCCATCTCACATCAGTTAGAATGGCAATCATCAAAAAATCCGGAGGCAGCAGATGCTGGAGAGGATGTAAAGAAATAGGAAACCTTTTCCATTGTTGATGGGAGTGTAAATTAGTGCAACCATTGTGGAAGACAGTGTGGCGATTCCTCAAGGATCTAGAACTAGAAATACCATTTGACCCAGCAATCCTATTACTGGGGATATACCCAAAGGATTACAAATCATTCTATTATAAAGACACATGCACAGTTATGTTTACTGCGGCACTGTTTACAATAGCAAAGACCTGGAACCAACCCAAGTGCCCCTTGATGATAGACTATACAAGGATCATGTGGCACATATACACTGTGGACTACTATGCAGCCGTAAAAAGGATGAGTTCATGTCCTTTGCAGGGACATGGATGAAGCTGGAAACCATGATTCTCAGCAAACTGACACAAGAACAGAAAACCAAACACCGCATGTTCTCACTCATAAGTGGGAGTTGAACAATGAGAACACATGGTCACAGGGAGGGGAACATCACACACACCAGGGCCTGTTAGGGAGTGGGGGGCTTAGGGAGGGATAGCAGGGGATGGGGGAATAAAGGAGGGATAGCATTAGGAGAAATACCTAATGTAGATAACAGGGTGATGGATGCAGCAAACTACCATGGCATGTGTGTACCTATGTAACAAACCTGCATGCTCTGCACATGTACCCCAGAACTTAAAGTATAATAAAAATATTCATTAAAAGAAATTAAAACTTAAAAAAAACCCTCTGTGACAGAGTCAGTAATGGAGCCCATAAATGCAAAAACGTATCTTCTTTTCATATTCACCATGATACAATTGTCTTTCACCAGGCCTGAAGGATCAGGTTCAATGTAACATGATAAAACCTATATTTATTGCTTAACTTGTAATAGAAATATTAAACAATAAAATTCTCATCTCATAGTATGAGTAGAAAAAATTGATTCAATTGTTACTTTTACAGCAATTGCCACAAGAAGATTCAAGACCATGAACCATATCCTGATGTTAAAAGAACATTATTGAAACTCAGAATTACCTAATGACTATCAATTTAATAGAGAAGTTGTTGGTGATGTTTCTCATGTCAAAACAC